GAATCCCGCCGCATAGCCATTACGCTAACTGCTGGTTCCCTTTTTTTTTTTTTAATATATTTTTATTTCATTTTCTTTTATACATTTAATCATGTTATTTAGCTTACAAAGTGAATATTCCAACATGTGAAGACTTCTCCCTAGTCCAGTTGATAAAACTATAAAATGATCTTCAACAATTATCAGGTATCTTTGTCCTATGAATGCTTTGCATCTCTATTTTCCTCTAAATGTCCTTCTTCAGACTTTCACACACTATATCTGGTATTCACATGCATTTACTGTGTTTCCATATCCTTCAGTCATTCATTTTCAGTCAAAGAGTGTGGACACTCGGTATATATTAAGTGGGGACATACAGTGTCTCTCCTTCATAGCCTGGCTTGCTTCACTCAGCAGTAAATCTTCCATATTCTTCCACTGTCAAAAGCCAGGGTTTTGTTGTTTTATTTTATGGCTGAATAGTATTCCATAGAGTATATGTGCCACAGTTTTCCAATCCATTCATCTGTTTGTGGGTATTTGGGTTGGTTCCATGTCTTAGCAATTGTGAATAGTGCTACAAGATGTGCAAAAAAAAAAAAAAAAGAAAAACAAATAAACATTGATGTGCAAGCACTTTTCTGATTAAGAATTCTTCTGTCCTTTGGGTAGATAACCAAGGAGTGGGATTACTGGATCATATGGTAGTTCTATTTGTAGATTTTTGAGGAATCTCCAAATTGTTCTACACAGTGGCTGGACCAATTTACATTCCCATCAGCAGTGTAAGAGTTCCCTTTTCACCACATGCCCGCCAGCACTTACTATTTTTTTAAATCTTAGTTATTCTGACTGGGGTTAGGTGGTATCTCATTGTTGTTTTGATCTGCATTTCCCTTACAACGAGGGATGGTGAGCATTATTTTCTTATGCCTTTTGGCTATTTGTATGTCTTTAGAGAGTGATTTTCTCAACTCATTCTTCTATCTTTTCATAGGATTGATCATCTTTTTTCAGAACAGCTGCTTGAGTTCCTTGTGTATTCTGGTTATCAGTCCCTTATCTGATGCATAGTTTACAAAAGTATTTTCACATTCTGAGGACTGTCGTGTCCTTTGCTATGCAGAAACTTCTTAGTCTGATGTAATATGACTTGTCTATTTTGGGGATTATCGGCTGTGCTTTGGTGGTCTTATTTAAGAAGTCTTTGCCTACCCCAATGTCTCCCAGTTTCCCCAGTGTTTTCCAGGAACAGTTTTATAGTTTGAGGTCTTAGATTTAGATCTTTGGTCCACCTTGACTTGATTTTTGTCAGAGGTGAGAGGTAAGGGTTCAGATTCATCTTTCTGCAGGTGGAAATCCAGTTTTTCCAGCACTATTTGCTGAAGAGGTTTTCCTTTTCCCACTGGATTGACTGGTACGCCTTGTCAAAAATCAGTTGACTGTATGTTTGGGAATTATTTCTGGGGATTCTGTTCCATTGGTCTTCCCTGTCTGTTTCTGTGCCAGTACCACACTGTTTTGTTTACCACAGCTTTGTAGTCTATTTTTGGGTCAGGAAGTGAGATGCTGCCCACTCCACTCTTCTTGTGTAGGATTGCTTTGGCAATGTGGGGTCTTTCATGATTCCAAACAAATTTCATGATCATCTTTTATAGATCTGTGAAGAATGTGTCTGGTTCTTTGATTGAGATTGCATTAAATGTATAGATTAATTTGGGTAGAATTTCCATTTTGATTATATTAATTCTTCCAATCCAGGAACATGGTATGTCCTTCCACTTTTTTGTGTCATTTTAAATTTCTTTTTTCAGCTTCTTGTAGTTTTTCTTGTGGAGGTCTTTAACTTCTTTGGTTAGACTTATTCCTAAGTATCTTATGCTTTTTGTGGCTATGGTAAATGGAATAACTTTTTTCAGTTCTCTCTCAGTCTGCCTGTCATTCATATATAGAAATGCTATAGATTTCTGTATGTTGATTTTGTATCCTGTACCTTTACTGTATTCATGTATTACTTCCAGGAATGATTTCATGGAAACCATTGGGTCTTCTATGTATAATATCATGTCATCTGCAAATAGGGTTTCACTTCTTCTTTTCCTATTTGAATGCGTTTTATTTTATTCTCTTTTCTGATTGTGTTGGCGAGGACTTCCAGTACTATATTGAAAAGGAGTGGAGAAAGTGGGCATCCTTGTTTTGTACCCATTTTTAGTGGAAAAACTTTCAGTTTTTCTCCATTCAGGATGATGTTCATTATGGGTTTTTCATAGATAGCTTTTATTGTGTTGAGAAATGACCCTTGTATGCCGATTTTGCTGAGAACCTTGATCATGAAGGAATGATGTATCTTATCAAATGCTTTTTCTGCATCAATTGATATGATAGGGTTTTTATCTTTCTTTCTGTTAAGATGGTGTATTACATTTATGGTTTTGCATAAGTTGAGCCAACCTTGCATCCCTGGAATAAAGCCTACTCGGTCATGATATATAACCATTTTTATATCTTATTGGATACGATTTGCTAGTATCTTGTTGAGAATCTTTGCATCTATATTCATCAGAGGTATTGGTCTATAGTTTTCATTCCTTGTCCTGTCCTTATGTGTTTTAAGGATAAGGGAGATAGAGTCTTCGTAGAGTGAATTAGGGAGAGATTCACACTTTGGATTTTTAGAAATAACTTGAGCAGAAAGGGGGTTAACTCTTCTTTGAAAGTTTTGTAGAATTCAGAGGTGAAGCCATCAGGGCCAGGGCTTTTTTTTGATAGGAGGTTATTTATTACTGATTCAATCTCCTGGCTTGTTACAGGCCTATTCAGACTTTCTATATCCACCTGGTTCAATCTTGGTAGATTATATTTGTCCAGGAATTTGTCCATCTCATCCAGATTGTCTTGTTTCTTGGCATATAGTTATTCATAGTAAACTCTAATGATGTTTTGTATTTCTACTGTGTTGTTATATTGCCTGCTTCGTTGCAGATTTGATTTACCTTGTTCCTTTCTCTCCTCTTAATAAGTCTCGCTAGTGGTGTATCAATTTTGTTTATCTTTTCGAAGAACCAGCTTTTACTTTCATTTATTTTCTGTATAATTCATTTTTTTCTATTTATTTCTTCTCAAATCTTTATTATTTCATTTTTTTTGCTGGAGTTTCTTTGAATTTTTTTGCTGTTGCTTTTCCAATCTTCTGATGCACAATGTTAGGTGATCCATTTGCCTTCTTTCCGTTGTCTTCTTATGCGCACTAATTGCTATGAACTTCCCTTTTATGACTGCTTTTGCAGTGTCCCAAAGATTATGGAAACTTGTGTCCTCATTGTCATTGACTTCCAAGAATCTTTTGATTTCAGTTTTTATTTATTCAATAGTTGTAGAGTCATTCAGGAGTAGGTTATTCAGTTTCCATGTATTTGAGTATGCTTCAGGATTTCTCGAAATTAAACTCAAGTTTAATTCTATTATGGTCGGAGAAGATGCTGGATATAGTTTCTATGCCTTTGAATCTGTAGAGGCTTGCTTTATGCCCTATGATGTAGTCAATATTCAAAAAGGCTCATGTCGGGGTGAGAACAAAGTGTATCTCATGGTTTTTGGGTGGAAA